TCTTAATGATGGATTTGTTTCAGCTTTTGTCTTCTCCAGATGTGAACTGATGGACTGGAGTGCTGTGGGTTATTGTGATGTTTTTATCAGCTGTTTGGACTCTCTTTCTGACGGCACCCATTCACTGCAGAGCATCCGTTGCTGAGCAAGCGATGCAATGCTACATTTCTCCAAATCTGATGAACAAACAAACTCATCCTGATCTCGGATGGACTGAGGGGGAGTCGGTTTTCAGCATATTTTCATTTTTGGGAGAACTAGTCTTTTAAAAACTAACCGATTATCCAATGAAAGAGAAAACTCACAATAACTTTTACAATCAACAGCAGAGAAATCGTAAGTGCATGGAATCAAACATGGAACTGATGCAACAAAAATAACTTAAAGGTGACATATCATGAAAATCTGACTTTTCCAGGTTTTAAGTGCTATAATCAGGTCCCCGATGCATCTACCAACCAAGGAAACATGAAAAAGATTAACCCAGTAACTTTGTTTTGGGTAGCCTTTTTCTGCAAGTGTCTGAGAAAACCAGCGTGTCCGATTTCACTTCCCTAGTGACGTGGCTAATGGATCTCATTATAATATTACCGCCCCTTAATCTGTAAAAAATGGCGAAAGTTTGAGCAAACCACGCTAACTGTCTTTGTCTGCACAGAACACTATTTAGATCTAAAATAAACATGCAATTTATTTCCCAGCAGTTTACCTTCACAGACATAACCAACTGTTTTTGTAACTCATGTGTGTTTTTAACGTAAACTCGTGTGTGAATGAAAACTTAGTTTAGTACTCGCATGCTGTGACAGCCGCTTTCTGTGCGTGTGCTTCGGATGTGTGCGCTCAGAAAACCATATATCTGAAGTTTAAACTCATATGGTTTAAAATCTCATGATTTCAGCACGATAAACATGATAATCAGAACCATAACAGATGTTTTTAGCAGATACGAGATGTAAAGGCACAGCTCTATTCTGGAAAAGGGGGCGGGGTGCAGCAGCTCATTTGCATTTAAAGAGACCGGCCCGAAAAACAGCTCATTTCTGCTTCCACTCAAAATAGGCGTTTTCAAAATTATATAATAAATAATCTGTGGAGTATTTTGAGCTGAAACTTCACAGACACATTCTGGGGACACCAGAGACTTCTATTACATATTGTAAAAAAGGGCATAATATGTCTCCTTTAAAACCTCTTCATTGGCTCTCAAATGATTTAATTGATTAAGGATCATCTGCGCCAACACAACTCAATTCTGTGCTAACAATATGCCATTGACAATATCTAATAATCATTGTAGTGGCTTTAGGGATGCAACGATTATAGATTTTGTTGGTACGATTATTGTCTGAGGAATAATCACGGTTTTACGATTACGATGATTATGCATTTATTCATTTCCCAACATTACAAATGTATAAAATCACATGAACACTCTTTAGATGGTAAAGTGTTATTTATTGCTGGCTTTTGAAATGGAAATAACACCGTAACCAACAATACAGCAAAAAATTATAATAAAAGACAAACAAAAGTCCATCTCTCCCATTGGAATTAAAAAAGGTGACCTCTGCTCTGTAAACATCCATGACCGTATCTCTCTTTTGAAAATAACAAATGGAAATAGATCGCAAAAGTATTTAATGTTTTCAGTTTATACATTCTTTACATTTTCTTTTGGCCCTGGGATAGAGACTTTGGAAACATGGTGAAAAAAAAATTTGTTGGTTTTTACTTATAATACTACAACAGGGATAGTAAATAAAGTTAATGAAGTAGCCTATTATTAATATACGACTAATATTAACTTTATTTGTCCCACAGGGGAAACTGTTACTAATGATGTAATATACATATATATATAATGATGAAATAAACTGAAATATTATTGTAATCAACTGTCATCCATACATATTAATTTGAATAATCTTTATAATAATTCATATGATTTTACATGTGGCCTGAGAAAATCATGCCTATTATTTTGGTTTGTGAGATCGGAGATCGCGCTGCGCAACATAAAAATACCTCGCCTAAAATAACACTCAAATGACTTTCTGTACTAATGGTTCAACTGGGTCAGAAGGAGAAAACATCTTGCTGCAATAGCATCAAACCTGCCACAAACAGGTGCAAGACGTATTAAGGCTATTTTTTTTTTTTTTTTTTAAATGAACACAAATGTGGGTGAGATTTGAGAGCTGTGGCAGAAGATTATCAATCAATAAAGACTTAATTTCCATCTGTTCCTCACACAAAGATAACATATTTATGTTATAAGCAACCGAGGCATACGGACTCATTTTATGATTTACTTTGAGCTTGTAATAATAATAATAATAATAATTTTACACCGTATTGTATTAATATTAATTATCATGTGAAAATATAAAATTAAATAAACATATGTATTATACAGTAATTTTTTACACCGTATTAATCTTAATTATTTTTATATAATAGAAAAACATAATTATATATATTAATGTAAACATTGTGTATATATACAGTATTTTTACACTGCAACAATAATAATACATTATATAATTATGATATAATAACAATAATCTAATAAAATTGAGAAAAAAAATGCATTGAGAAAGTTGCATCATTTTTTTTTCATGTCTCACCTCCAAAAAATAATTTATAAATCATCATATTACAATATTTTAAACTAATACAATAATAAGAAACACCAATCACCGTAATGATAATCGAATGAGAATCACTAGGAATAATGGGGGATTAAAAAAATGGATTTATAATAATAACTGTACAAAAACTCATTATTATTATTATTATAAAAAAATGTTTTAAGTGAACTTAGATATTTTAGCTAATTTACTTTTATTATACAAAACACAAAATGACATGAGTAACAATTAAAATTTCTGGGTGAACTGTTCCTTCAAGCGCATTTATTCCTCTCTGCTGTAACACGATCCTCGTCAATCTGAAGGGCTGAATGCTGAGAATGGCCCATGATGAGATGGTTGAGAGCTGAAATCTATTCGCATTGATCATTTTCGGTCTCTGCAATGCCAGTGCAGAAAAACAACAAGACAAAACAGCAAATAGCCAGATTGCACAAAAACTGTTTTGCATGGGAGTTTTAGGCTGCGAGAGCGGCACGGGTCACTGGAGTGCAAACCTGGTGTAGGACTGCTCGTGGGCCTTCTGTACCGACCATAACTATACTTAAAAAAAAAAAAAAAAAAAAAAATTTTTTTTATTTTTTTTTTTTATGGCAAAACCTGCCAAGGGTGGATTGATGATGTAACTACATCACCATGCATCACGCAAAGCAGCTCTCTCAATCTGATCTATGGAAGCCTGTTTAAAGGGGTCATGTGACTGGTGTAATGCAATGCGTTTGTGGTTTAAGGTTCAAAAAACACATTATTTTCCACATACTGTACATTATTGTTTCTCCTCTATGCCCCGCCTTTCTGAAACGCGTCGATTTTTACAAAGCTCATCGGTCTGAAAAGCGAGGTGTGCTCTGATTGGCCAGCTATCTAGTGCGTTGTGATTGGCCGAATATCTCAAGCGTGTGACCGAAATGTTACGCCCCTTGCCAGGTTCAGGAAACTTTCCTCCGTAAAATGTGTTGTACACTCTCGAATATTTGGGTTGTACTGATATGCAACAGTGATGTAAATAAAACTTGATTATTGACCACTGATTTCTAGTCGTGTCCTCTTTTGGAAGACCAAACAAAGTAGTTTCGCTTTCACAACGAAGCACACAGCGTCTTCACGACATGGCGGCAGCGGCAACAATACTACAGCGAGAATAAAAGTTACGCCTTCTTTCTTTGCGTGAACATTTGGGAGGCGTTATGCAAATCTTCCCACATAGTGATGTAGACATGTGGGGGCGTGTTAGAACGAGGCGTTTTAGGTAGGTGTGGCTGACTCTTAACTTTTATAAAGAATATCTCTTTGGTTTTGAGACTTTAGTCTTTGCAACTTTACAGATCTTCTTTATGCACCAAGAGCTTGTAACACTCCAAAGAGAAAGGAAAATTTTAAATTGCATCATATGACCCCTTTAAATAAAAATAAATAATTTTATATTTTTATTTAGTTTTATTTTATTGTATACGTTTCTTTATTTTATATATTTAAAAAAAAAAGTAAAATATACAATACAATTAAATAAAAATTAAATGTTTTTATTTATTTAATTTTATATTTCATTTCATTGTATATTTTATTTTATATATTTATTTTTAAAAATTTAAGTAAAATATACAATAAAAGCAATATAAAATAAATATGAAATAAAGGGTAATTGCAACTATACAGATCATATGTCACACCTCCAAAAAATAAATCATTTATGCAGATTTAAATATAAATCATTAATATTTTGAACTTTAATACAATTAAAACAGTAACAACACTAAACAAAGTAATGAAAGTCTACTGAGAATCAAAAACTGCAGGATATATATATATACATATACAGTGGGTACGGAAAGTATTCAGACCCCCTTACATTTTTCACTCTGTTATATTGCAGCCATTTGCTAAAATCATTTAAGTTAATTTTTTTTCCTCAATGTACACACAGCACCCCATATTGACAGAAAAACACAGAATTGTTGACATTTTTGCAGATTTATTAAAAAAGAAATTTAAATAAAAATAAATAATTTTATATTTTTATTTTTTATTTAGTTTTATTTTATTGTATATTTTTCTTTATATATTTTTAAAAAAAGTAAAATATACAATACAATTAAATAATTAAATGTTTTTATTTATTTAATTTTATATTTCATTTCATTGTAGATTTTATTTTATATATTTATTTTTAAAAATTTAAATTATTGACATTTTTGCAGATTTTTACACCCCAAAAGCAGCATGAATTGCTAAATAATCACATTACAATAGAGAATATTTCATTTGAACTAAAGCCAAATTCAAAACATCTTTCACAATATATTTAAACACTGAAAGGGTTCCTGATAAACACACATGAGGCTTTACCTGAAGTTTGTCCTCTGGGACGTTGAGCCAGTGGTTGAACGCTTGCGAGAGTTTTGTTCGGACTTGTTTTCCTATCAAAACAGAGAAAAGCGGGACAGATGACAAGAAATCCAAATTATCTGCAGCTCGAACACAGACGGAAAGATCAACTGATGTTTCCCACCGAGCCTTTCCTCAAACACACCCGAAACCTTCCCCAATAACGTGAAATGAGACGTTCGGTTTAGATATTGGTTTTGTAGTGAAGCTTTTCAACAACAGAAAAAAAGTGTGAATAAGATTGACTAAGGCACTTCTTACTCTTCTAGCACAAAAATCTCACAGCAATACATGCATTTGCACCCAGAGAAGGAGAGAGGAATATCTATCTATCTACACGCGCACACACACACACACAAACAATAGATAGAGATCTATAAACATACAAACTGAAGCACAACGATTACTGCAGATTTGCAATACTAAAATCTCTTTTTAAAGTTACTTGAAATGTTAACTCAAATAAAATATAAAATCAAATAAAAACTTGCATTAGACATTTCAGCTAGTTTGAAGTGCTAAAATAAACTAAATGTACTAAAACTAATCAATAAAAATTGATGTAGACATTATAAAAATTGCCAATAAAATGACACAAATTACTAAAACGAGCTAAAACTCAAGAATATATATATATTAAAAAAATCTGCTTAACAAATCTCTTAAGGAGCTTTTATGAAAACATTCAGACAGGGTTATTATAGTTCAAATTAAAACAAACTATACAAAACATTCATTACTTGAAATTAATAACATTAAAAACACATTTTAGCTATATGAAGTACTAAAATAAACTAATAAATAAAAATAACTATATAGACAAAAATAGAAATGACAAAACAACAAAATTACTAAAACTTGAATTGAAATTAGTGAAAACAATGCATTACTAAAAAAAAATTATAAATAAAACATTCGAACAATAACAGGGTTATTATAGTTAACTAAAATCATTAAAAAAATCAGTTACTTGAAATAAACGTTAACTGAAATAAAACATTTCAGCCATTTTGAACAAAGTAATAAATAAAAATGAATAAACTACATAGACATAAAAAAAAAACTCATGAGGCAACATATGCATATTTATTTTAGATATCATTAGATAATGATTAATTAACACTGAACAGCTTTACACATTCATATAAAGGAAAGAGACGGCTGGAGAAAAATACAGAAACCAGAATACACTCATAAATCAATAGAAGTTTTTGCCTTTTAAACCCCAAACTTAAAGGCTGAAGAGCTCTGATTATTCCGAACGAGTCGAGTATCATTCATCTCACTTCATGAACGTCTTCCCTGCAGCTTCCTGTAACTCAAGCCCTCATGAGTGCGTTAGCCTGCGCTGATCTAATGACCGACTGCAGCGTTCCTCCTCCGGTTTCAGCTCCGTTTGCCCTTTAGTAGGCTAATGATGAATCCGTCAACAGCATGACCGATTCACCCTTAATAAATCAACCAAAACTGAATATTTAAAGAAAAAAAACATCTCATTACTGTAATGCACACATTTTTATTTTGTAAAGGCATTCATTTAAGAACAGGAGAAATCATATCTTTCAATATGGCAGGTGCAGAGTCCTGCTTTACAGTTAAGAGCCAATCACCTTTTCTGTTGACTAAAAGAATGTGTATGCGGATTGGACCAGCTTTAAAACAGCACTTTCTGTCACTGAATCAGATTTTCTATTCCTGACTAATTGTATCAACAGTTTTTACTGACTTGTTATACAAACCAAATTTGTAATTTATTTTTTATATATTGTAATTTATCAAAAAAAAAAAAAAAAGACTATTTAAAATTAAATCATTCATTTTTAAAATTATTACATTTGACTCACTATAATATAGTAACCATTTCACAGTTACATTACTTTGGTTATAAAAACTAAACCTGTGATTTTATTTAATTAATTTCATTTCATATAAGTTACTAAAATAAAATGGCTTAATTAAAAAAAATCATTAATTTTTTTAAAGGATTAGAATATAAAAACTATAATATAGTCATATCTACTATAATACAATATTTACCATAATTTAGTAACCATTTCACCGTTACATTACTTTGGTTATAAAAACTAAACTTGTAATTTATTTTTATTTAATTTCATATAAATTACTACAAAATAAAAATGACTTTAAAATAAAATCATTATTTTTTTTAATAGAATTTAAAAACTAAGTGTAATATCTACTATAATAAAATGTTTACTATAATAGTAACCATTTCACAATTACATTAGAATCAGAATGAGTTTTTATTGCCAGGTATGTTTACACATACGAGGAATTTGTTTTCATGACAGAAGCTCCACAGTGTAACAGAATGACAGTGACAGAACAAAAACACAGATAATAAAAATAGAAAAATAGATGTTGATTTTGCATCGCGATCTGCTCTGAACAGCTGAAAACCCGGCAGACTCAACGCGCTGTCCGGAATGGCGTCTTTCAGCCAGGTTTCCGTGAAACACAGAGCAGCAGAGTTAGAAAAATCCTTATTTGTCCGGGAGAGCAGAAGAAGTTCGTCCGTTACTGACTTTGGTTACACAAACTAAATATAATTTATTTTATTTAGTTGCAATTACTTTTTTTTTTATTCAATATACATTAAAAAATGACTAAATTTTAAATAAAATCATTAACCATTTTAAAATTATTATTAAAATGGAAAAGCTTTTTATAATATAGTAACCATTTCTGTACAGTAGTGGGAATCGCTAAAAAAATACCGAGAATAAAACGTCTGGATTCATTGCATTAACAGTTCTTTTGATTCTGCGGTGAAATGTGACCTGGACTGGTTTTAATGAGATTCACTCACTTAAATGTGAGCAGTCGTTCTCGATCGGTTTTCCCTTGCTTTGCCCTTCACCGGCGCTGTGGAGTTTCAGTTCTTCTGTGATTTCTTCCCTGACCGCTGCAAAACTAGCCCAGAGGAGCCGGGTTTGAGCATACGGTCACAAAATACATCATTAAAATTGCAAGAGGACGACGGGAACACAACATGCTGCAGCAGTGTTTCTCTCAGACCGAATATTAGAAAAACTCCTTCACTCAGCAGTTACAACACTCTCACTTAAAGACCAGCACAGAGATGTAAAGGAGAAGCTTTACTTCTGCAAGATGGTAGGAAATGGAAGTGAGCCAACCAAAGGATTTCTGTCATTGACTATTTTAACAACATTGATTCATAATTAAATGTCATTTTGGGGGGGGGGAAAAAATGCAGTTTTCATTAAAACATTCAGACGGGACTATTATAGTTCAATAAAACAATCTAAAACCATACAAAAAAATCTTGAAATGCATTAATCGAAATAAAATAATAATAATATTATAAATAATAAAGTAGACCTTTTCAGTTACTTTCTAAAACTAAATAAACTAATAAATAAAAAAAGAATAAACTATATAGACATTTAACAAAATGAAGAAAAAAAATTTTAAATAAAAATTGAAGTGAAAATATAAAACTCTAAATAAATTCTTATTTAAGAAGTTATTATTAAAACAGGGTCATTATGGTTAAAACCAAGTAAATAAAAAAAAAAACATTAAAACATTAACAAAAAGTGAGGTTTTTTTTATTTCAGCTATTTTGAAGTGCTAAAATAACTGACTAAATAAATGAAAACGAATAAATAAAAATGAATAAACTATTTATACATTGAAAAATTAATGACAAACACGACAAACTAAAATTATAGTGAAAACAGAAAATATAAAAATTTAATCTGCAGTCTCTTACTTAAGGAGTTTTTATTAAAACATTTAAAAGTTAAATAAAACCATAAAAACGTTTTCATTACTTGAAATAAATGTTAATTGAGAATATGAAAAAAGAAAAACTTAAAACTTTTATTTGAGCTATTTTGAAATGTTATAATTAAAAAATAAAAAGAGAAAACCATACATTTAAAAATAATAATAATTAAATAAAATATTAAACATGACAAATTTACTAACTAAAATTAAAGTGAAAATGGAAAATATAAATATAATCGAATTAAAAATATTAACAAAAACTAGAATAGTATATCAATGATACCAAAATAACACTGGACAGGACAACAATATATTTTACTGAAATTACATTAACATGAACTCACAAAAAGACTTGGAAATATAGCTACATTATAACGTATCATACTAGATATTACTTCTAAAGATACAAGCGAGTCAAATGTCTAAAAAAAGGCACACATAAGCCATGAGGAACAAAACATCCCTTCACAAATCGTCCTTAAACATCAAACGTGACTTTTACAGAATCTAATATTGGTCTAATTCACTAATTCCTGTCAGCTTACAAGATGCTTCATGAAGCGACAGCAGGAGCAGCTAATAATAGACACACGATCTTGTCCTTTATTGTGCATTGTGCTGACTGCAGACGTCCTGTATGACTGCTGCTGAGCTCCTGTGACTTCTAGCACGATGATGCTTCTGCCACAAAATGACAAGTTGACATGAAATGTCAAGCAGTGACAGCAGCATCCTGCTGAGCTCCATAGAAATCACGGTTTATAGTGCTGTAACAATATATCCTGTCACTATACAGCACAATACAAAAATGCAACTATGTATCGTGGCTCGTTTACTCAAAATGAATGCTTAGATTTAATTTGGCAATCATATTTGGTAATCACACATAAAAAGCAGTGAACCCAGAAGGTCACTCATTTGAGCTTCCATGCTAATTATTACTAATAAATGAAAAATAGCATGCATTAATAAAATGTATTATTTACAAATTTATTAAGTTATTTATATAACATTTATAATTTACAAACATTATTCATACTATTGGATCATGGCACATAAATATGGTTAACACAGAAGGTCACACATTTGAGCTTTCAAGTTAATTATTGTTAAACGATTGAAAAAAAAAATACATTTAATAAAATGTACTTATAATTTACAAATGTATACAATTATTTATAAATGTTTATAAAATACAATATTGGATCATGGTGCATAAAATATGGTAAGCCCAAGAATGTCACACATTTGAGATTCCATGTTAATTATTATAGCGGAAGCTAGAGATTACGGTTTATAAAGTTCAAAATATGGATATTTTTCTTACAAAAACGCATCGATTCGCTTCAGG